TTAAGAGTTGTAACTTTGTGCCTTAATTGGTGAGCCAATTGGTATGCATGTTTATATATGCTTTTAGTGCCTTTGGTTTTAGCATTATGGCCATTGTTTTGGCATGACTGAGGTCTATCCATTTCGGTTTAAGTCCATTGAATATGTGGTTTGCATGTTGTTGCATGCTTGGTGTATTGCATATTGTTGCCCTTGTCGCATTGCATTGCGCATGCATGCATTACATTGTGTTAAGAACCCTATGATTGCCTTGCATTGAGTATGCCATCTAGTTCTTAGCATTTAGCATTGGGTATGCCATGTTATTCCTTGCATTGTGTATGCTAGGTTGTTAGTTGCATTGTGTATGCCATGTAGATCATCGCATTGTGTATGGCTTATACCTTGCATTGTGTATGTTTAGGTTACATCATCGCATTGTGCATGCTAATTGATATTTGCATTGTGCATGCTAGTTGTTGCATGCATTAGTATTGTGCATGTCATTAGCCTTGTTAGGTTGTTCAAGTTGCATTCCATGCTTGGATCACATTGCATTGTGCATGCCATGTTATTTGTTGCATTGTGTTTGGAATAGGTGTTAGTCCAAACATGAGAAACGAGGGGCGTTTCATACTTCAAGTGATGAAGCGTGCCTCGATTCTCGGTCACCGACACTCTTGATCATAAATGATAGAGTTTTAGGCTTTACGTGTTTACTTGTGCATTCATTTTATATTGAATTGTGCAACTTCGCCTCTCGGCCGTCATGCATTGAAATGCGCGATTGGTGGCCCGAGGGTCGAGAATCGCACTCCCTTGAGCTAATGACATGATAGGGAGGGTGGTTGTGCACACATATCTTGCAAATACATTGCCATGCCCTTTCTTGCTCTCTGTTGCAGCAAATTGGAATTCAGCAGCAACAACTGGCCGGCCAACCAGAAAAACCAGCTGGCCGACCACTTTTCTGATTTTTCAACAACCAAAAGTGGTCGGCAGGTGTTTGGAGAGAAAAAAAGTGGTCGACCACCCTCCCACAGGACTCCTAAGGTGAAGTTTCAGCTTTCTGGAGCTTGGTGCAAGTTTCTGAGAACAAATGAAAACAGAGGCAAATCGGGGCATCGCATTGGATTTCCAAACGAGGTGACGGGGCATGCATGCATTCTTCTCCCTCTCGACGCTCCTGTTTTATTGCTTTCCTTAGCTGCCATGCTTAGATAGATAGCTTATGCTTTGGTTTGTACTTTAATAGTTAATGCGTTAGCTATTCAATTTGTTTTGTAATAATTAGTTAACTAGGATTAGTTAATTAATTGTGCTGTAATAATTAGTTTAATTAGCTTAGATTAGCTAGTTAGCTTCTTATTTGGTCTCTCTATCGAGAGGGCACACTGTTGTAATAAGCGTGCGTGTGTGTGATGCATGTTTTCCAACCTCAATTTCTTTCTCCCTTTTACTTAACCGCTTACGATGGTTAGTTTTAGGGCCTGTTTAATTTAGCATACCTTATGCTTTGCATGCGTGCATCCATTCATCTGTTTTGCATGCACCGAGCTTGGCGCATCATACTAACTGCATTGTATTTCCAATACATTTACTTGAATACGTGTTCAACAGCATGTTACCAAGTTGCATTTCACATGACATTCTAGAATAGCCGAGCCTATTTTAGTTACATTTTCGCATGTGTTGCATTAGCCATCTTAACATGAACCAGGATCATGCATGATTTCTAACTAGTTCCTTGTTTTGGCTCGGAGTACACTGTGAGTGTTTACGCTTTAGCATACTGCATGTGTGTTATTGACTGCCATGAAAGCATGCTTGCCATGAGGCCAACTGCTTACTTGATTAACTGTCTAAATGCCTGTGGGTGAAGGTTGGATTATCTGAATTGGAACAATTCATTAAAATTCGCATTTTAGCCTACTTGCGAGTAGAAAATTTCAAACCGTTTTCAAACGAACATGCAATGTTTTGTTCCAAATTGGGCGATCTAATCTATACTTGTTTGCTGTGTGCATCACATAGTAAGATTAACTAATTAACCGGAATAAGAACACATGTGTTGTGAAACCCCGAGCTTTTCGAAGGCAGTATGTAGTTGAATTTCGGGGACGAAATTGTTTTAAGGGGGATAGGTTGTGAAGCCCCTGAAAAATATTTTCTCTTTAAAAACCCTAATGTTTAACTTATTTTCTTAAAACCCCTCAGTTGCTAGAATTATTTCGAACTAGTGTTTATAATGTGTAAATTATTTTCCAACTAGTGTTCATTTAATCCAACTAGTGTTCATTCATAACCTAACTAGTGGGTTAGGGTCCTTTCATTTTTCAAGTAGTGGTTCTTTCATATCCTAATTAGTAGGCTTTTATGACAAACTTGTTCATTTAATATCCTTATTAGTGGTTCATTTACTATCCTTATTAGTGGTCCATTCATATTCAAACTTGTCCTTTCAAATTCCTAACTAGTAGGCTATAATGACAACCTTTCAATACCAACTACACCAAGGTTGCCTATAAACATCACCAAGCAACACTCTCACACTTCCACATTCGACCTAAGGAGAGAAAAGAGAACAAGAGAGGAATTTTGAGAGGAAGAATAAGGGAGAAGAGAGCCATCTTGTTCAAAACTTAGCAGGTAAGCCACAACACAACCTTCTCTTTCATTTTCCTTTTTTTCAAATACATGTCTTAGGGTTCTAGATAATGTTCTAGATCTGTTATTTATTAGTTACTTGTGTTAAAAATGCTAAGAGTTGAGTATTGATTCTATCTCTTTTGTATTTTTCCCATCTCGGTATAAAACCATCTTTTTCTCCATATAAATCTCTCAACTTTCCAAGGACACACCTTCAAGCAAACTTTCTGAGTTAAATATATGCTGGTTAGCATGTTTTCTTCACAAAAGAAACGAAAACTTTCCTTTGGGTGGAACCCTTTTCTTATAAATCTTCTTGTTTTGGACATCTACCCTAGAAACTATTTTTACAGCCCACTTTCAAAAATTCCAGAAAAATGTATGAAATTATTCTTGACCTCTATTTTAGGTCAGCATTTTCCTTAAGGAGTTAGCTTTCAAATAAAATTAGTTTCATTGAAAAACATTAAGCGGCTTGCAAGAAAATCAAATTTTCGTAACGATCAACGGGTCTGGACAGAATCTGGACAGCACTGGAATGTTTTCTAAATAACTTAAAATCTGGAAAAGCAAACCCATTTCCGAAAAATGTTCTAGAAACTAGATCAAATTCTCTACGAATCATAGGAAGACCGAGTCTGGTGAAGGATCTAAACTAGCCTTTCATTTTAATCTTTATGTGATATTAAATCTGGAAATATTTGTTATATATGGATGTTTTATGTCCTGGTATTCATGAAAATGTATTATGATCATATCTTGGCAAGATATTTTATGTGTTATGTTATGTTATGTTATTTATCTTTCTCATCTTAAGGATGCATGTTATGTGGATATTATTATCTTGTAAGTTGGACTAACCTTGACTTAAAACTTTTAACTCAACGGGAAACCTAATTGGGAGGGTATTGGGGTTTTGAGCACTTGAGTAATGGAAAGATGAGAAAAAGTGTTATATGGTTGTTGGGATGCGTCCCTAATTGGAAGTTAAAGTCTTGCGCAAGTGGTTTTCGGAACCCTTGAACCGAGCGGTTGTATTCGGACCCTAGGTGGTTTGGTGTGAGGAGGGTTTCGGGCAAGACCCTATTTCACCGTCTCTTTTGAGGCCCTGCGCAACCCAATATGCCTAGGTTCAACCCTTAACCCACGCAACCCAATATGCGACTCTAGAAGCCCTTACCCCTTTATCTTATTTTATCTATCATGCTACTATATTTAAGGTAGACTGACAAATAAAAATCTTTTTCCACCTTAGGATGTCAGCGGAAGACTATCCAGGACGCGATATCAGTCTCGACTCGTGGGGTACTTTCCGTATGCAAGGAAGGAGGGCCATATCTGTCAGCCCCAACTTTAGCCGCCGACGCTGTGTGAGTACCGCCGAGGAAATGATCAGAACGGAGATATGTAAGGTGGAAACGGAGTACTCCCGTTATACGTGGGAGCAAAAGAGGTCTCTGGTGCGGCGCCGCCTACAATTTTTGAGCCGGGCAGCGAAGAAGGTGGTCCAAATAGAGCAATATGATCAGAGGATAGACTTCTTGATACACCGAACTTTGACCACCATAGCATACCACCGACCACCGACTCAGGCTGAAAGCTACGCATCTTGTTATCAGGGGCCAAGCAACAATCAACCAAGGAATATAGAGCAACCACCAAAACAGAATGGAGTAACCCCAGCCTACCTTATAGAGGTGTCGTTTGAACGCAATCCCCCCTCACCAACGTACACCCCCCGCTCTCCGAACCAAGCCACTAACTCCGCTGAGGAAGATCCAAAAGAAGACTTTGATTGGTCGGGAAATGAAAACTAGTTCGAGAAATAGTAAAGCTAGACTTTTGTAAGATCCGCTGATAGGATCCTTAGAATAAGACAGCCTGAACTTTGTAATGCGTAGATGCCCTTTAAATGTAACTCCGATTAGGAGCCCTTTTGGAATGATGCCTATTATAATATACGAATGATGTGTTAATCTATGTTTTTGACTGTTATTTGTTTTAGTACACTCTAAGGAAACTGAACTTTCATTTCAAATCTAAATAGTAAGATTTTCTAAAATTGGAACCAACTCACCACGTGCCATGAACAGAATGGTGGACACGCGCACTAATGACTATGCCGAAACTAGCAACAACGCACGAAACCGCCCCAGAAACCAACACGGACCCGTCCCCACAGGGACTGACATTCCCAATAATCCAGGACATCAAATTTTGGAGGGATTAGGGCAAGTAAGGAACAATCGACAGAATGAGAGGACTCGACTCTTTTCTGAGTTTCGAAAGCAAAGGCCCCAAAGTTCACTGGTGTGCCGGACTCAAAGGTAGCTGAAAACTGGCTTTGACGGATAGAGAAAATGCTAGACACCATGGGCATAACCGAGGTCGCTGATAGAATAGCTTTGGCAGTATTCGAGTTTGATGATGAGGCTGACCATTGGTGGGAGTTAATCAAGAACACTCGTGACGTAGCGAGCCTATCATGGAACCAGTTCAGGGAACTGTTCCTAAATAAATATTTTCCAAATACGGTCCTTCGAAATCGAGTCAAGGAATTCCAAAACCTGGAACAAGGAAACATGACCGTGACCCAGTATGTTGCAAAATTTGAAGAACTAGCCCGTTACGCAGCTAGATTTGTAGCAAATGATGAAGAGAAGGCAAAGATGTTCGAGTGGGGGTTGGACCTTACAATCAGGGGAAGAGTTCTTCCGCAACGACTCCCCACATTTGCTGAGGTGCTGGATACGGCGTTAGAGTCTGAGAGGGAAGTAACAGACACTAGAAAGGCTTGGAACAAGAGGAGAGGGAGTCAGAAGTCTGTTGGACCTCAGAGGAACCAAAAAGGAAACATGATGCCAAAGCCCTACTCCAGACCACAACCACAACCACAACAGCAACAGATCCAAAGAGGAGGCTATCAACAAAGGCCGACGGGACAAATCCAGTGCTTTCATTGCCAACAATAAGGGCACAAAAAGAGCGAATGCCCCCAACTCCCTCCATCTAGGTACCAAGGAGGAGGTTCCGGAGCAAATGCCTAGGCATTAGGTGGGCAGAAGCCTTGGATGAACAAGACATGATCGACTGGACTGCAGCACCAGAAGAATGGAGGAACTCAACACACCAAGACCAGTGGCAACCAGAAGGCAACCGGCAGAGTCTTTGCCTTGCAAGAGGAAGAAGCAGACCCGTCTGTTATTAAGGGTAATTTAGTATTATACAATTCTTGGGTGCATGTTTTATTTGATACTAGAATGTCAGACTTCGATATTATTTTGGGCATGGACTGGTTGTCTGCCCACCGAGCAGTGATCAACTGTCATCAGAGGAAAGTGGTAGCTCACACATTGGATGGAACTCGTTTCCAGTTTAAGGGGGATAGACAAGACCCCATGGCTTCAACAAAACATAGGACGCAGTGGTGCGATCAAATTGCGGGCAGGATAGCAAGTCTGATTTTGAATGAGGAAGGCCAAGGAGAATTAGAACTTCCGCGCATAGTATGTGAATATGCAGATGTATTTCCTACGGAGTTAACGGGATTGCCACCAACCCAGGAAGTAGATTTGAGCATAAATATTTTCTCTTTAAAAACCCTAATGTTTAAATTATTTTCTTAAAACCCCTCAGTTACTAGAATTATTTCGAACTAGTGTTTATAATGTGTGAATTATTTTCCAAATAGTGTTCATTTAATCCAACTAGTGTTCATTCATAACCTAACTAGTGGGTTAGGGTCCTTTCATTTTTCAAGTAGTGGTTCTTTCATATCCTAATTAGTAGGCTTTTATGACAAACTTGTTCATTTAATATCCTTATTAGTGGTTCATTTACTATCCTTATTAGTGGTCCATTCATATTCAAACTTGTCCTTTCAAATTCCAACTAGTAGGCTTTAATGACAAGTAAATCCTAATGTGTCCTTTCATATTCCAACTAGTATGTTACACCAAGTTGCCTATAAATTGAGCCACCTCTCAACTTCTTTCTATAGTTCTTCCCATATCTCTCTTCATTTGTTATATAGATTTAGAGTTTAGATTAAGAATGTTTAAAGTGAGAGTAAGCATTTTCATAAAGGAGGAGAGCTGTAGATTTTGTGAAACCTTACATACCTTATGACTTAGAATTTGAAGATTCAAGGAGAAAGATTGAGATTCGAGTGTTGGAGACGGAGGAGATTGATTTGAGGTAATTCGGGTGGTATACAATATGTTTCTCTAAATCTCTTTGCAAAGAGTTTATTTTAATTACCGTAAATTTGTACTCCTCTTGATTATTCTGATCGTTTGATAAATTCTGTGGAATTATTCGTTGTTGATTCATTTGATTACTCTAGTCATTTGATGAACTCTGTGTAGTTATTCTGTGTTGGAAATGTTGATTTGTCTGGCTAAATGACGTGGAAATGCTCCGTACATGGATCGAGCGGACTTTGCTAATATGCTCTGTACCAATAGCCCGGATAAACAGTTGTGCTTGGGTGAAGGGGGTAAGGCCAGTTACTGGTCGTGTACCAAGTAGGACCGGGTATTTGGTTCTAGATAAATTATCATATGTCGAGTTGTCTTGTTTGTGCAATTTGGTAAATTGTTTGATTATCGAATCTAATCGGTTGTGTAATTGCTGGATCTCTGTTAATTCATTTCCTGTCTGAGCCTTGTTATTCCTGTTGTATTGTATACTTCCCGAATTAATTTATTTTTCAGGCATGGAGCAAATTTAGTGGTGGTTGGAGTTGAAGCATCTAAAGGTTGATTTGAGGTTGTTTTGATTTATTAACGACCCGGAAGTTGGGGCGTTACATGTGTTTTCAAAAATAAAATATCATGCTTAGTACTTATAGTAGCTAGAGAACAAAACGGATTCGCGCCCTCGTAGCGTGGAGCCTAGGGAGTTCTCGGGGCGGTGTAGACCGCGCTGCGAGGGCGGTGTAGAAGTGGAAAACACTGGCTGCTCCAAACTGAATCTATAGTTCTGTGACTACCTTGCAAAAGAAGAAAACAGACAGCACCTTAGCCTGACTTCACTAGAACAGATATAAGTAAAGCTGAATGACTACAATCTCTTCTGAATTCTACCCAAAACTATGCCTGTAAACTGATACCCTCAGGTAAAACTGATTCCCTCAGGAAAAACTGATTCCCCCCAAAATACTGATGCCCTCAGGCCCGATACCCAGACTTGCAGACTGATACACACAACCTGTAGAGACACACTCTGATAGCAAATATCATGCAAGTGAGAGCCAAAACACCTCTATGTTGGGGTAGGGTTTCCCTGTCCTATTTTGTCAGGAGCTAGGGTTTCACTACCCATACAGCGGTTTCAAACAACCAATAATCGGGTAAGCAACCTGTCCTAGTTTGGAATAGTCACTATGGATTCCGATATGCACTAGGTCAAATGGTCAAAAAAGGTGCCCTGGTAAAAATCGGAGTTTGTGTTCCCGTCGTGGCAGAGCCCGCAACCGGTCAACCTTATGGCACGCTTCTCAAAGCAAGCCTTCGGCAAACCGTTCAGGAATAGCATATAGCAAACACGGTGTCCTAGGCGCACCAATGCAAATGCAATGCGAAGAGACACATAAGTGGAAACAAAACAAGATATCATGAGTTCGAGTCAAGTTCTCTAATTCCCCAGCAGAGTCACCAGAAACTGTAGACCGCCCCGAGAACTCCCCAAGCTCCGCACTGCAAGGGTGCGAATCCATTTTGTTCTCTAGCTACTACAAGTTCGGACTCGTGTCACGGTTCTGAATCTAATCTCACAAAGTGCAATGTGAGACCAATAAATCACCAAAGAGTCTAAATCCGACAAATCGTTTTGGAAAACTGATTTTAATAAAGAAGTGTCAAACATGGACTGCTTTTGGGGGAAATTTAGGAAACCCTGAATCGTGCCTAAGGCCACGTGTCTGTTATCACCAAAGGTGCCTCGGCTCGGGAACTTGGGTACGAGAGGGGAAGGTCATGCAATGAGCACCCCCGCTCGCTCGATCAAAAGATCGGCCTTTACTAAGCATGATATTTTGTTTTTGAAAACACATGTGTTCTTATTCCGGTTATTAACCTAGAATTACTATGTGATGCGCACAGCATACAAGTATAGACTAGATCGCCTAAGTTGGAACAAAACATCTCATGCCCCTCATTTGCCTTAACATGCAGCTTATGTTTAGACTCCCATGCTTACATGTTTTGGCTTAACTTTGAAAAGTTTTTAGCTCGGAAAATGGTTTGAGTGGTGCTACTCGCAAGTAGGCTAAGACGTGGATTTTGCCACCCTCAAGTAGGCTTAGAAAACATGATTTTGCCACTCTCAAGTGGACTTAAAACTCGCATTTCGATGAATTGTTCCAATTCAAGCAATCCAACCTTCACCCACAGGCATTCAGGCTGTTATATCACTTAAGCAAATAGCCTCAAGGTAAACATGCTAAACACACGCGAGATGTAACTTGATAATCATGTATTCAAGTAAGAATTGAAATACAATGCAGCTAGTATGATGCGCTGAGCCCGGTGCATGCAATACAAATGAATGGATGCAAACATGCATAGCATGAGGTATGCTAATCGAAATATGCCCTAAAACTAACCGTCATAAGTGGTTAAGTAAATGGGAGACAGAAATGGAGGTTGGAAGACATGCATCACACACACGCACGCTTATTACAACAGTTGGCCCTCTCGACGGAGGGTCCGAATAAGAAGCTAACTAGCTAACCTAAGCAAATTAAACTAATTATTACACAACGAAGCTAGTTAACTAATCCTAGTTAACTAACTATTACAAAACAATTAAGCAGCTAAACGCATTAACTACTTAAGTATAGAATCTAAAGCACAAACTAGCTAAGCAAAGGAAGCTAAGTAAAGCAGTAAAGCAATGTCTTCAGAGGGAGAAGAGTATGCATGTCCGGTCGCCTCGTTCGAAAATCCGTCACGATGCCCCGATTTGCCTCTGTTTGCAACTGTTCTCAAAACCTTGCACCAAGCTCCAGAAAGCTTCTAACTCACCTTGGGGACCTGTGGGAGGGCTGCTAACTAGTTATTGATGTTTCCAGCCACTGGCCGACCACTTTTTGTTGCTGCAGACCAGAAAAAGTGGTCGGCCAGCTAGTTTTACTGGCTGGCCAGCCAGTTTTTGCTGCACTTCTCCAATTTGCTGCAAAAGAGAGCAAGAAAGGGCATGGCAATGTATTTGCAACATATATGTGCACAACCACCCTCCCTATCATTACATAAGCTCAAAGGAGTGTGCTTCTCGACCCTCGGGCCACTAATCACGCATCTCGATGCATGATGGCCGAGAAGCGAAGTTGCACAATTCAATGTAAAATGAATGCACAAATAAACACACAAAGCCTAGAACTCTATCATGTATGATCAAGAGCGTCGGCGACCGAGAATTGAGACACGTTTCATCACTTCAAGTATGAAACGTCCCTCATTTCTCGTGTTCAGATTAACACCCAATCCAAACACAATGCAAGCAACAACATGCATGCAAACATGTAATACAACTTAAGCATGCGAACATGCAATGCAAGGCATGCAAAACACAATGCAACTACATGGCATACACAACGCAAGGAATAACATGGAAAACACAATGCAATGTAACATGAGCATACACAATGCAAACAACAACGTGACATACTTAATGCTATGTGACATGATCAACTTAACAAAGCTAATGGCATGCGAACAATGCTAATGCGTTCATACACAATGCAAGGCAACATAAGCATGCAACAACATGATGCAATGTAACAACATTCACATAACATGCTCGATGGACTTTAAACCAAAATGGACAGACCTCACATGCCCAAATCAGTGGCCATAATGATGAAACAAAGGCATGAAATGCAAGACAATGCATGCACAATGCAAAGGCTCATCAAGTAAGCCAAAGAGCACAACCCTCAAGAGTGCTCAAAGAGTGACAAATGTGGAAG